CCTGATAATAATAATAATTCGAATGAACTGCCATGGATTGGTACTGCAGTCTTACCATACCGTCATGGCACAACTGAAGAACTCCAACGGATATTAAGACAACACAGAATTAAAGTATATTACAAAACAACTAACACACTTCGAAATACTTTAGTTCGATTAAAAGAAAAAATACCATTCATGTCGACACAGAACTGCGTCTACAAATTAGGTTGTGTCGATTGTGATGCCTTCTATATTGGAGAGTCATCTCGCGAAATCTTAACGCGCGCTAAAGAACATATCAGGTACACAAAGAAACCGCCTAATAATCCTGTAGAATTAGATAGACTTCAGATTAAATCGGCAATAGCAGTTCACGCCATTTTCAACAGTCATCAAATTGATTTCAAAAATATCAAAATACTACAAAAAGGTTTTTCTAACTACAAAGAAAGAAGAGTAGCAGAAGCTCTCCATATAATGCTTAATCCTACGGCCCTCAATAGAAAAGAAGGCCTTACCATACATCCCACTTGGACTATCTATCCTAGTCAACCAGTCTAATATTATTTACAATCTCACACCATTACATTACAAATTAAACTCTATCCTTTGTCATTACAAAGGTCACACATTTTTCGTCATTAACAATGCATACATACACACAAAATTACATACATATCCCTTATGAATCACTTTGAACGAAATGAAATGACGTGACATTGATTTATTCAGACCGGTTTTTGATTGATCACCTAATATTCTTTGATTGTTCCGTTGTACTATTTAAACTTGGATTAATATTAATTTGGTTATTTATTCTCTGAAGAAGTGGCTTACACTGAGTCACGAAACGTCAGAAAATCTAATTTTTCTACTCATTGGGATATTACAAATATATAATTTATTTATAACAATCTACCCAATGCTCAATTTATTCAAAATTATCAAATCAAGTCTTGGTAATGACACCTAAAAACTTTGAAATGTTTATAGAAGCCTTACACCCACATAAATTTGTTCATGTTGAAACAAATTTATGGTTTATGTTTTATTTGAATATTTAACGTGTTATTTATAATCTTGTAGATTGATTAATTATAAACTACTACTATACTACTACTACTACTACTATTACTACTACTACTACTACTATTACTACTACTACTACTACTACTACTACTACTACCCATGTACCGTTTTTTTATAAACAGTAAACTGTTGAATACCTGTTTGTCTATCCGATCATAATATTTTTGTGTCATATATGCTTAGATACATCAATTTGACTGCCAAATCAAGTGTATATTCTACATAGCTTAAATAATTGATTTTTACATAAATCTACTCATCTTTATACAACAATATATATCTCATGTAGTTCTCACTTCCCTTACAAATGTTATACTCTTTAAATATATTTTGTTGAATCGGTGTATAAAATATATAAAAACTGTTTATACATTTCAAAATCGACTTCTCATATCATGTAAAGTAAATTTAGTTCCATAATAGGATAACTCTAAGGAAACAACCGAAATTACTATTGGGTTCACTATCATGTTTAGGTCAGGAGAGTTTACATCAATTTATCGAGTAAAGTAGTTTTAATTAGTCCTGTTTTGTTATTTTGTTAATCTAATTGAAGTAAACATTTTCCTATACAAGAAAAAGAAAAGACTAAGCTAATAATTGATTAATAATGAGATTGGGAAAAAAGAAAAACTTAATAAATTTTAAAGATGGATAGTAGCTAGCAGTGGAATCCAGTTTGACAGGCTTTCTGTCCTATTTGGGGCCCGTCGGCTGGATATACGTGCATCTCAGAGTTGATGTTCACTCTAGGAATCGATCTCATGCATGTCCAGCTGACGAGTCTCAAATGGGACGAAACACACGTCTTCGATTCCACTGCTAGCCACAATCCAACTTTGTATAGAATACTTGTGAATTAAGGTTATATTGAGGCAATACGCACAGTATGCACATATGCTAATTAGAAACTGATCAATTGCAGTCGTAAACATCAATGAGAAGATTCAAACAAATAGTACCAAGTGAAATTAATAAATGTTAATATAATAGTCTAAAAAATTTAATTATGAGTTGTCCAACTCTATTCTTTATGAGTATTTTTCTCGTTTCAGTTCAAATAATAATAATTCATACCTCTTATTACATAGTTTAGATGTTCATTTCCTTGTTTTGTTATATTACTAAACAAAATTAGTTTATTTTATCAAGGAATAGCTGTCTATTTGTATAATCTCTACAATGAAAATATAAAGGTGAACAAAATGATGAACAGAATATGTGTGGGGACAATCGAATGTATTTAAGCACAGACTATCTCACAAAATTCTGATAACCATACAGTGAACAGTTGGTTTGCAAAATAACAATCAATTGTCTCAATCTTCATTGTTCCTTCTGTAAATACCAGTCCGTCTTCTCCGATTTCATTGTTCATGCATTTTCTTACCGATTGCGCTTCATTCCTGTTCTTTTTTTATCGATCTTCAGCCAAAATACATTCTATGTCTGACCATCACCATATACTACTTATAAGTAGACCATACCACAATATCTATGGAACGATAAGAAAATTATGTAAAACCATACGTCAGCAGTTAATCAACTTATAAATACTTATATTTAAAATATATAATATATCTTTTTCATTTGGTCATCTTCAATATATTTAAATTTACTGGTGTAATAGTCAAACAGGGATAACTTTTAAAATAAAGCCTGATTATAGAGTTGAAGTTGATATATTGTACTCATAATGTATATTCATCAGTTTGACAAATCAGTGACTGTAATGTGGGATTCCAGCAAGCTACCGCTTCTTTTTTACAAAAACAATTTATAGCTGACTAATTCACTACAGAATGAAGATGATCTTGATAATAATTTGTGTATAATTAGTTATAAAGAATTTATGATTATTTTTTATCTACTGAATTACTGAGTCCAGATAGGTGCTGACTTATTCAATGAGTATGATGTGTGTTTTAATTATTTCAGTTTAAATATTTTGCCGTGAATTCGAATCAGTCATTGCTAGTGAACTTGTACCTTGTATGGATTTTCACGATAAAGTCATTTTATTGCAAGATGTTTTGAATAGATAAATTTTGACTAGCAATGTATTCAGAAGCTTAGTGGACTGAGTTCAGAGATATGATTCTTATGTCATAATTTAAACATCAGTACTGGAATACTGGCATATCAGTGTGACAAATGTCAACAAAAACAAAACATTGGCTCTAGATTTCACTATGAGGCAAAATCTTTCTATTTTAAAATAAAACGTTGTAAAAAAAATGATCACACTAAGGCAAAGTGCATGAGATGAACACAATTAATCACGAAACAATAAATATTTGGAAATGAATACCAAAAACAATATAATTTAAACTCTTACTTCTATTGTGATGTGGTCTATTTATATCCATATAAGTAGTATATGGAGATGGTCAAACATAGAATGTATTTTGGCATAAGACGGATAAGGAAAGAACAGAAATGAAGCGAAATTGGTAGGAAAATGCATGCAAAATAATAATCAGAGAAGATGGACTGATATTTGCAGAAGAACCAGTCAAGATTGAAACAATTGATTGTTATTTTACAAATTAACTATTAACTGTATGGTTATCAGAATTTAATGAGATAGTCTGTAGTTTGTGCTTAATTACATTCGATTGTCCCACCCGTGTTCTTGTTCACTACACTACTACTACTACTACTACATATAACATTTATACTAAACTGCTCATCTAAACATTCACTATTTAATTCAGAGAACTAAACAGTTATATTATCATAATTTATAACTTCTTATCCGTCTGTAGATAATAATATAAGTTCATTTAGTATTGTTTGTTTAAATCTTGCCATCGATGTGTTAGGACTGCAACTGATCAGTCTCTCTAAATAGGACGAAACACGCATCCTGGATTCCACTACTAGCCACTATCCATTTTTGTTTACCAATAATATAAATGTTCATTAGTCTCTATTCATCAGTAGTTATGCTAAGATTCTTAACAAATGATCGACATAGATTTCAAAATAAAAGACTCAATTATATTTCATATATATTATCGATCTTATGTCGTTTACATCTATAATTTTGTCGGTACAATTACCTGAGGACCAATTTGATCAAAAAAAATAGTAAAACAAAAATATTTGTTTACACATTTCATAATAAGTTGAAAAGTCATTTGATTATATTTACTGTTATCGATTAATTATTAGTTTATAAACCATGATTGAATTAGACTTTTGAAAAAAGGTTGGTACATGTTAACCTTAAGTTAACCAGGCTAATCAATATGTGTCAAGATTGTCAAATGTATATATATATATATATATATATATATTCATAAAAGCCATCTAACAATAGTTATATATATGTCACATAGTGTAAAAGTACTTGAACTACATACAACCATACTTCAACGGTAAGCACAGTGATATTATATAGGCCTTCGTTCGTTGTTATCTATTATTTGTAATGCTATTCTATCATAATTCTCTATATAAGCATATATATATACATTTCAAAGTTGAAATCATGAGTCAATTGAAGCTAGACCACGTCTGTTGTGAGATAACAACTCACTGAAGATAATTGACGAATGGTCGCTCATAATTCGTGGATCGGTTGAAGTTAGATATTAACACCATCGGATGCCGGCTCAGTGGTCTATCGGCTAAGGGCTCTGGCTCGAGACTGGTAGGTCCTGGGTTCGAATCTCGCCGGTGCGGGATCGTGGATGCGCACTGCTGAGGAGTTCCATAATAGTACAAAACGGCCGTCCAGTGCTTCCAGGTTTTCAATGGTGGTCTCGCTTCAATTGACTTATGATTTCAACTTTGAAAACTAATGAAATCTCCACAAATCTCTTTCTGATATATATATATATATATATATATATATATATATATATATATATAAACATATCACTAAATCATTGTCGTTATCTTATCTTTTCACTTTCTAGACAGCAACAACAAAATCAAGGAAATATTGAATCATTACATACTTCTTCAAGTACATTATGCTCATTTATTCCAGCCACGCCTAATTGGACAGTAAGTAAAATGTTGAATAAATAATGTAAAGTAGAAACAAAAAAAACATTATTTATTTTAAAGAATAATATTGATATAATCAGTCTCAGACTTTGTTTATCTATCTATCTTTTTATTTACCTACTTATCTACCTCTCTCTCTCTGTATATATATTACTTATTTCCGCCTTTTACCCCTCGTCGAGGAGCATAGGCCGCTCACCAGCATTCTCCATCCAACTCTGTCCTGAGCCTTCCTTTCCAGTTCCTTCCAGTCAACATTCATCCTTTTCATATCTGCTTCTATTCCCCGGCGTAATGTGTTCTTTGGCCTTCCTCTTTTCCGCTTCCCTTCCGGATTCCAAGTTAGGGCTTGCCTTGTAATGCAAATTGGTGATTTCCTTAATATATGCCCTATCCACTTCCAACGTCTTTTCCTAATTTCCTCTTCAGCTGGAAGCTGGTTTTTCCATTTCACTTGACAATATTTCAAGCTTTCACACTGAAAAAGGATCTTTTAGTATAAAAGTGGAGTCACATGTTGATACGTAAATGATAATTAGAAATAAAACAACGAATGATGACTTAATATATAACTTACAGTTGAGTTTATGTGAAAATACCTTAAAACAACTTTTTGATAAATACCTTTCAAAATTATACTAATTTCCCAATGAATACTTAACCAGGATTCATATTTTGATTTTTACAGCTCTTTCTAACAAATACTTACTTACTTACGCCTGTTACTCCCAATGGAGCAAAGGCTGCCGACCAGCATTCTACAACCCACTCTGTCATGGGCCTTCCCTTCTAGTTCTATCCAAAGTTTGTTCATTCTTCTCATGTATGTCTCCATTTCTCGGCGTAATGTGTTCTTTGGTCATCCTCTTTTCATTTGGCCTTCAGGATTCCATGTGAGGGCTTGCCTTGTGACGCAGTTGGGTGATTTCCTCAATGTGTGTCCTATCCACTTCCACCGCTTCTTTCTGATTTCTTCCTCCACTGGAATCTAGTTTGTTGTCTACCACAGTAGGTTGTTGCGGATAGTGTCTGGCCAACGGATCCGAATTATTTTGCGTAGACAACTGTTAATAAACACCTGTACCTAATGGATGATGGCTTTCGTAGTTCTCCAGGTTTCCACCCCATACAGTAGAACTGTCTTCACATTTATATTGAAAATTCTGTTCTTGTTGTTGGTTGACAATTGTTTTGAGTTCCAGATGTTTTTCAGATGCCTTAGAAATATTGCTCGCATCTGCTGGGATAACCGGGTAAGTAATAGTGAGGTTAGACGCAGGGTATTAGGGAACGATGGTAAATCAGTTGATGAGGTGATGAATCTTCATCGACTGAGATGGTTGGGCCATGTGTTACGTATGCCTGAACACCGATTACCACGACGCGCTATGATGACTAGTATTGGGGATGGTTGGAAGAGAGTTAGGGGCGGCCAAACCAAAACATGGCATCAGTGTTTGAAGTCACTAACTTCTAGCCTGAGCCATGTTGGCAGATGCAGACTACTTGGTTGGGGTCCGCGTGACTATCGTAACCAATGGTTGGAGACTCTAGGTGACATGGCTCAGAATCGGTCACAATGGCGTAGGTGTATACACTCTTTATCTTCCCTTAAACCTTGAGACTAAAATTGCTTCATATCTCTCTTCCTTCCTGTACTATATCCTTATATACAACCTATAATTTATATACTACTACCAACACTAGATTAACTACTATGAATCCGGTGTTCCTCTTGTTGTGCTAACGAGGTATGGCAACTTGGACCGATGCATAAATGTGCCTGGTCCTACGTTGTAGCTGACCTGACCTGACCAGTTGTAAATATGCTGCTCATGGTTTGACGATCCTCTCCCTCACATGTGCATCAGATCCACCGTGTTCATCAATGATGCTGCCCAGATATGTAAAGGTTTTCACATCCTCAAAAGCTTCTCCGTTATGTGTAATTCGATTGGTGCATGTTGTATTGTATCGGAGATTCTTGATTTTCCCTTTGTTTATATTGAGACCTACTGCTGCTGAGGCTGCTTCTAAACTGGTCGTCTTTTCCAGAATTTGTTGTTGCATGTGTAATAGAAGAGTCAGATCATCTGCAAAGTATAAATCGTCCAGCTGTATCCTAGCTGTCCACTGTATCCCGTGCTTCCCTCCAGATATTGACGTCTTCATGAGCCTGTCGATCACCAGGAGAATGAGAAAGGGTGAGAGTAAGCAACCTTGCCTAACACCGGTCTTTACCTTAAATGAGTCGGTGAGTTGTCTTCCATGGATGATTCGGCAGTTTAATCCATCATAGGAATTACGTATGATGTTGAATATCTTCTGAGGCACGCCGTAGTGTCGAAGAAGCCTCCATAGTGTTGTCCTGTCGACGCTTTCAAATGCCTTCTCATAGTCAATGAAGCTGATGTAGAGTGATGAATTCCAATAATTTTCTTAATTAAATTAAGATCATTCAGTAAAAAATATTGTGTCAAGTAACATAATGTTTGGAATAATAAAACTGTCCTTTCCAACAAGTAGATATTCATCAATGTCATCTATAATAACAGAATTAGTAAAACTAACTAAACAGATTATTTCGATTTAGGTTAGTATATTTCACTAAGGTTTATTCAATATGGTAGTTTAACGCTGATATTATGTGTAAAATATTAGAATACCAATAGATTAGATGGTTATTTGAGTTGACTAAATGCTATTTGTCAAGAATAACTGAACATTAATGACCTCATGTTTCTCTCTGTTCTTGATATATTTTTGAATGTACAAAAGTGATATTATCCTATACTTTAGAGAGCTTTGAAACTGTTATGAAACAAATTCGACATATGTTACATGTTGTTAAGTAACTATACTGGTCACAAATCAAACATGACCTTGGTTTCTTGAACACAGATTGTAATCGATCAACAGTAAATATAACAATGTTCAGTAGATGGATCCATAACCTATGTATTCACCATATACCAAAAACTAGGTCACCTAATAAAGAGTGAATTTTTCATTCCATTTACATAGTTCTCATATGTACAATCAGTTATTGTTTTCATCGACATTAACCCAAGAGGGGCTCCAGGCGGAGTTAAAACAAAATAATATTCAATTTAATGATATTTAGACAGTAAATGTGAATTCTATCATTCACCATCGTTTTTTAATAATTAAAGTTATACTATTGGGATTAACTTTTCCTTATTGGAATAGAATGTGTATGTTTTTGTATGAAACCTAAACCAATTATGTTTAACCGGTTGGAGTGGGGGGCAGTTCATCTCCAAAGACTGAACTGCGGTACCACAAAGTGACTGAAGTTTGACGTTTAAATCATTGGCTGCCGTATCAGCGATCTTAATATCAAGCTTTCGTCGCGAGGGCTGAAAGTACTGCATCCGATACCTAGTGTTATGGGTGCGCACCGCTGAAGGGATGTATTCTGGGAGAAAACAGATACCCAATGCTTTTAGGTTTTTTTTACGGGTGGTTTCATAACCTCAATAACATCCAACTAACGTCATGTAACCCCATGTTGATGACCGAAAACATCCGTAATGATATCCGAAATGAAGATAATAAAAAAAATGAAGTACGTAGGTGACATTCATTTGTAAAAATCTTATGATTTTTTGTTTTAAGACGTAATGTCATTACACATCATTGTATGATAAGTACTTGTCAATGCATTTGATAGACTAGAGATCATGTATTTGTCAGTCTTATTTATCTCTTTTCTTGAAGCAATTAATAGAATATCAAAGTGAATTAAATATATTTCAACGTTTACTATACACAATTTGTTTGGTTGGTTTTTGAAGTTTATTATGTATACAGTTTTGCAAATTTTAGATTTTTTACTACGATGGAATTGTTACTTCTTTACAGAATGCTGCAATAATTGGTGAGCATTTATGGAATGAGACCACTTCTAATGAAACATGTTATATCGATGAATCGGAATGTACTGTGAGTGCAATTATAGTCTCATCGTTTTTTTCTTTTTCATATTTATAAATCACTGTTTTACTTATTTATTTAAGCACATAAAAATTGGTATGAAGGGGCACCACATGCATATGCGCCACACAAATCTCGTTTGATTTGTTGTGAGGGCTGTGATGCTGCCCACGTGCCCAAACTAAAGCAGGTGGTTTTCTTAGAGGGCCACACCCGGAGCCTTTGACCTAACGATCCGATCCACAAGGCAGTGGTGCATTGTGAGCAAATGCACTCCCATGGTAGCAGGTGACCAACGATTGATTCATATGCCATTTGTTCCCTCAGGATAGTGGAGCTCATGTGCACCACTGGTTTGGAATGTGGGTTTTCCAACTCCCCTATGTGAACTTTCCGTGTCCACAGGCCCAGTCAAAGCTCTGGACATTCGCTTTTCGTCCTCTCAATTTCGCAAACAACCATAATGCCTTGAGAAGGCAGTGAGTAGGACTTCCCTGACAGATGCTATATATGCGTGGTCACGTGAGAGCAAACTCTCCTCACTCTCGGCCGTACCAGGGCATTTTGGGGCTAAAGTGTAATCGAGCCTGCCAGGATCCATATTTATAAATCACTGTATGCATTTTAATGTTGATGAATTTTATTGTGAAACAATGTCAAATTTACTTACCAAACTACTGATGGATTAAATGTATCGGTTTAAGAACGATAACTGCTTCGGTGATTCAACTATTTTCACATACAGAATAGTTCATGACATGGTATGAGTAATTTTCTTCGAAGAATATTACAGTCCTATTTTGAAATCAAAAATTTCTACCTAATTTTCTGTACTATATTGAGGTATTTAAAATGATTACATTCACTTAGTATTGATTCAAACAAACAATACTAAGTTAATTTAAACTTCACCCCATTGCACAAGCAAGTGGCCATCAGGACTCAGTAGCTGAGTGGATAACGTGATAGCGTTTAAAGAGAAAGGTACTGGGTTCGAGTTCCAGAGTGAATATCAACTCTGAGATGCAGGTACATCCAGCTGACGAGTCCTAAACAGGACGAAACACGCGTCCTGCATTGCACAGCTAGCCACTATCCATCTTTGCTTGTTACGTTTTTACTGTTGTAACGTAACACAGAATGCGTATATAATTGACTTCAGAAAATAATATTTTTATGAATGCTTATTTAATGAAAAAGACTTTGAATTTATCTTTTGCTATGATATTATATCAGCCCAAGTATTTTGATATTTTAAAAACTCTAGATAGCCATTTCATTCCGGCTCATAGGTCTAGAGGTTGAGCACTGACACATAAGACTAAAGGTTCTAGGTACGTTTACTGCGTATGAGGTCATGGATATGCACTGCTGAGGAGTCTCATATTAGGACGAAACAGCCGTATAATCTCCTCATGTTTCCAATGTTAATCTAACTTAGATCAGTTCATGATATCAATGAAGGGTTAAGATTTCAGATTTTGAGAGAGTGTTAATTTGCTTGCTGTATATTATCTACAGGGATTGGATTGAGTATTTGATACTTTTATTTTTTTTGTATTATATTGTCAAAAGATATTGTGTTTATCATCAAAAATGATTAGATAATTATACTATTACTCTTATCTTATATTTAATAATAGAATCATTATTAAATATAAGATAAGAGAGATGTGGAGATTGTTCAATTTTTTTTTTCATGGTCTACATCATTTACTGATCTTAATTAAGCATATGACCTTAATGTAGATTATTAAAACATAACACAATTATTTATTACACAATGAACAGTTTAAATATATTTTTAGCATTTACAAATGATGTAATATGTAAACTGAATGTATGATGTATGTTACTTATGTCGATAGATATAAGTAGTATGTAACATTAATCGAAAGTGGAATGTCTGACAAGAGAAGGTTGGGAAAATCGAGTTGAAGCGAACAAGAATGTAAACAGAGAGTTATTGTAATGGCAATAGAAATGAAGGAATTATGAAGTTTGTAAGAGACAATCGATGGATGATATGCAAATGAAGTATTTAATGTATGGTTTTTACAATTTACAAATACACTCTGCAATTTCGGTTAGAAAAATAAATTGGTTATCCCCACCTAAGTGTTAGTTCATTCCAGAATACTTTTTAAAGTTTTAAATACATTATAATTTGACTTAGTTAGTAAGCTTAAATTACTCCATACTATGTACATAGTGGAATTGATTGGAATTGCGTAGGTTGTATAAATGTATACAATTTAATAAGTGAGAAATAAAAATAACCAAACTTCTAACGTGTATTCTTCAATAATTCACCTTTTTTTCATACAAAAACTTGCGTCATTTATGGCGTAGGCGAGATAATTGTCTAGCAACCAAAGGACTGGTTCACTGCGCAGCAGTTCGTTCCATCCTACTTTATGGCAGCGAAACATGGCCGATAAGAGTGAAGGATATTCGTAGGCTACTAGTATTCGATCATAGGTGTCATCGAAGCATTGTTCGTATATCCTGGGACCACCGAGTAAGTAATGCAGTCGTTAGGAAACGGGTACTAGGTGAGGGGGGCAAATCGAATAATGTAGTAGTAAAACTCCATCATTTGAGGAGACTGGGACACGTGTTACATATGCCCAACCACCGACTGCCCCGACGTGCAATGTTTTATGGTGTAGGAGTAAATTGGAAGAAATCTAGGGGCAGCCAGACCAAAATGTGGCACAAATTCATAAAGTCACTAACAAGTGGACTGAGCCATGTTGTTAGGTGTAGACCACCTGGTTGGGATTCGTGAGTTGATAGCAATCGATGGTTAGAGACCTTGAATGACATGGCTCAAAATCGTTTACAATGACGAAAGTGCATCCACTCTTTATGTTCTATTAAATTCTAATCTAAATTATTCATGTTTCTATCTTTTTCTCTTTCCAAATTTATTTCACTGGATTATACTCCTTTAATAACATCTTCAATTCCTAATCTTTCCGATTACTGCTTATACTCTTACTACTTCTACCACTATGGGATTTGAATGGACAACTTCATCTCTGTGCTAATGTGGTATGGCAACTCGAACTGATGTACGTACGTACGTACGATGTTCTTCGTTGTAACTAATTGACTGACTATTTAGATCTACTAGAAAAAAAAAAAAGAAATACTGGTTTCCTAATAATCATACACTATAATTATTAGACTTCTTTTCAATAAATCAAGTGTAGTTTTAATAAACAAAGAATTATAAATTAAAATTTAATTTATTGAAATCATTCATTGGCGCTTATATCATCCATTCACTTTACTTATCCATAAATAATACTTCTAATTCAATTCATTTTACATCATCATATGTGATTATCTTTAATTCATTGTATTCTATCATATTTTTTGACATTTGAAATCTCTTGTGCTTTTTTCCCTTATTTATTTATCTCTCATAGCTGGTTTAATCATCATGTAATTTGGTTTCTTTTTTCTTTTCTTATTTATTCTAATTATAAATGATCTTAATTAGTTAAATTAAGTTATGGATAGACAATAGGAATGTTATATGTATCTTAATTGATTACTGAATCGTAACCAATGTGTGTTGTGGTTGTCTAATCTCTTTAAGTGATACTTGATATCTATCAGTTAATTTACAATGTATCCTGTAGTACTTCTTTTTTTTTTTAAATGACAAAGAAGATTTGTGTTTTGGGTGTATGCTTTCAGTTGTGTAATGTTCCTTGAGTTGGTTTGTTAAATTGGGAAGCTTACTTTTCTATTTCGTAAAACTGATTTGTTTAATTTATCCAAGATTATTTAGTATTCCAAGTGATTTGATATCGTGTGGATGATATTTATATTTTAAGTGATAGAAATCAATCACCAGGATACGGTACACCTATACTAATTGTAACTTTAATCATAAAGAAGCACATGTCTAGGCGAGACTATAATTTATGGAAGACTTTTGGACGAATATTAAGTGACCTTGAAAAATATTAGCCAATCAAGAAACAGTCAGCATAGAGTAAAAATATCTTTTACAAAACCAAAGAATTAAAATGGATATACTTTTTTTAATATGGTCCAAAAACTTGTCAAGGTTAGAAATAGGTTCAAAGGTTGTAAAATCGTAATGCATAAGGTAGAGGAACTCATCCATATGGCTCCATAATAGTCAGTCTCTGGAGCCATGATAAGGTCACAAAATCCCTCTTGGCCTCCACCATATAGCTTCAATATTGCTTGTATGTACTCTGGTTGTGTAAATTTATCATTTTTATTATGGATGTGTCCCTACAATACTCATACCACTGAACAGCAGAAGTTTCAGTGACATCTACGATTATTGCGACCAATTTTATCAGTGCTTCTATTATACAGTTGGCGGCAATTATTATAATAAGCCATTATCTCAATCTGGATCGAGCGATAAAATTTTCTATGCTAGCGAAAGTCTTCATTCAACATATATTACATCGAAGGACATCACGATAGTTTGCACAAAGTCTACAAGTCATTTGATCACTACAAATTTAAATAAAAAAAACTTCTTAGTAATCTCATTTGTTGTAGCCGCTTAATTGCCAAGTTTTTTCTAAAATCTTCTGTGATCCGATTGTACATGAGCATCAGATACTGAAATTGGCGCTATGACCTTGAAATCCCTCAAACGCTTCTGATTGGCTCGTCCACAAATTATAGTCTCGCCCACGTTAATTTTGAATCTTTATCACTTATCAGATGGGAAAATAATAAAAACTGAAATTGTTGAAGCGTTTTTGTGATATTGAGAATAACTCTAAACTATAGTAAGATTTTTTCTCGAGTATCATTTTTGGATATATCATATATGATCACGGAGAACATCAAATAAATCGCACATAGTGGAGAAACTCTGGAAGAGGTAGAGACATTCACGTATCTGGGCAGCATGATTGATGAACAATGAGAATCAGATGCAAATGTAAAGACAAGGATTGGCTAAGTAAAGACAGCATTCCTAGGGTTGAGGAACACATGGA